ATTCAATGTGGAGTGTTGGGATCTATGGACGTTTTTGAAATCAGAGTTGTACTTCTTGATTTTTTGTTAGCCACGGCTAGAAAAATTAGTATGTTGTGAAATTTATCTCATTGATGGATGTGGTAAGAGATGCATTCATACATTCTTTCCTAAGGGTTGTCGCGCTTAACTGTATAAGAATTATGGGCTCTGATTTCCCGTTCTGAGTCGCTATTCCTTGCACTAACCACATAACCGTACGACACAATGTCGAAGATACGAGTTTATTAAATTTGGGGTGGTCTTCTTCTGGAATGGATGCCGACCACAGGTAGCGATCTTAAGTACTATCAAGCAGCTGTCCAAAGCTTGTAGCAGAATGACTAGTAAAGGGAATTATTAAGAAGTCTTAAATTAACTCGCGGATTATATCTATCTATCTATCTATCTATCTCTCTCTCTCTCTCTCTCTATATATATATATATATATATATATATATATATATATATATGAATATTGAAGTCAACACTTAGAGGCGACAGTCTGTTTCATGCTAGACGCAACGCAATAGTCAGGTCTGATAGGTGGCCTGAGGATTGCGTCTAGCATAAAACAGACTGTCGCCTCTTCAATGTTCGCTTTTAAATTTACACACGCTCTATCTCTGATATTGACCACTTTCTCCCATAAATATTGCACACTTTAAGAGTATATTTATTCATATATATATATATATATATATATATATATATATATATATATATATATAGATAGATAGATAGATAGAGAGAGAGAGAGAGATATATATATATATATATATATATGTAGGAAACAATCCGTTGGTATATAATCTAAGCGAATTCTATCAATACAATATAAAATATTAATTATTGAATATTAAAAATGATTCACACATGTCAATGTTTCAATTAAACAGAGCAACATATTTTATACAATGGGAATTAATGGGTTTCTCTCTTTATTTAATATAATATTATTTTTATAATTGATTTAAGAAGGGTTTCTTTATTCTGAACTGCCTTTCTGATATAAAATAAATAGGTAATTTCTTCTCTCTTTTTCCCCTCCTTATTTTCGCTTCTCCAGACTTCTTTGTTTTTATTTGCTCAGTTTTTCTTTTCCTTTTTTTTTTCATTTTTCTTCCCTTCTTCTGTTTGGCCAGTTTTATCAGCCCTTGACTGGTTTGAAAAATCCTTGTAAATTTTATTACAATTTTCAAGATGAAAATGATCATTAACCTAATGTAATCTTTTCATTAAGATACGATCAATGATTAATTTAAACAAGTTTCGTCTACTTATTTTCAATAGCATTCGCTCATACTCAGAATAAATGAATATGTATCAACATGGAAATTTTTTTCTGTTCCTTTAAATTTAATACCTAACTAAGAAGATGCTCCGGGAATATGTGAGTATTCTATTGAAGGAAAGTAGACAAAATTTGTCTAAATTATTCAAATGGACATACCTGTATATATATATATATATATATATATATATATATATATATATATATATATATATAATTTATGCAAAACTAGGTAACCCGTATGGGTAGACCCAAGGAGGATGATATACAGAGAGCTCAATGTAAATTCAGGAGCAATAAATTTGAATAAAAGACAGACCACTTTAAGGTTCCATGGAACCTCAAAGTGGACTGTTTTTATTCAAATATACATATATATATATATATATATATATATATATATATATATATATATATATATATAAATTGGAAATTAACACCCAAAGGCGGCAGTCTGTTTCATGCTAAATGCAATCGTCAAGCTATGTGCGTTGTTTTTTTCGCTCGACGTTTTATATATACGGGTCAGTGATGCATTGTGTGTATTATATAGTATTGTAGGTAATCTATTGTATTATTCTAACGGTTATTTTAGTAGTTCGCTTTGTTAATTTGTTTATTAGTTGCGTAGTTTATTTACATATTTATTTGTTTTTATTCATTTATTTTACTTGTTTCTGTTTCTTTTATTTCTTCTATTCATTTATTCATGTTAGTTTCAGTTTTCGATTTTTAACAAATGTAATTATAGCTATTTCTCTTCCAGGTATAGTTTAGAGATTTTAGATTGATTGTTGTTGGTTGATGTTCTTATTTTAACTGATATTTTTGTTGTGATTTATTTTTTGTTTATAATTTACAAGATATGTTTAGAAAGCATTGTGCTGTTTTCTTATTTATTATTTGTAAGGGTCCCTCAGTTATCGCTATGTAATTTTTCTTCGTTATCTACTAATTTTACTGTGGCTTGGTATATTACATTTTTCGCAAGCACTTGCCATTTAAGGGACATTCTTTCTTTATTCTGTGGTTACACGTGAGTTTAATTTGTACAGATTGTTTTCCGGTTGTGCTTTTTTATTATTTGTGGCATGCTACCTGCGGAGTTGTAGCAGATTTTTACTGTGTTTTTGTTTAATATCTTGTGGAACATGCGGGAATTAGTTTTTTTTATGAGTTTGAGGAATAATTTTCCTACGTTTGTTTTTATGTTTTCGTTGTATGGTGGGTCGAACCATCCGATATTTCTTTCCTGGTGGCTTTTTTTGTGCTGTGTGGTGCTTAATTGAGTGTTGCCTGGAATTCCACTATCCTTTATGGCTGTTTCATAGTCTTTCTTAACATCGTTGAATAGGGTTTCGTTGGAAGAATTGTCAGAAAGGCCGTGCTTATTTAATTGACGTATCTGCTTGATTATTAATGTCGGGTGGCTGGAAGATGCTTGTATATAGATTGGTTTTTCATTGGGTTTTCTCTATGGTTCATATGTAACTTTTCTTATGTTGAAGTTGACATCTAGAAACCTACTTTGTTTAGGCTAGATTAATCTATGTCGAATGGCATATTTTTGAAAATCTTTATGCTTGATTTTCTTGTTTTGTCCGTGATTTGTTTATTACAGTTTCTTAAGATTATGAGACGTTCGTATCTATAGTGTCCTGTATCATTTCGTCTAGCAAATATATATCTATGCGTTTGCAGCCCCTGCACCGTCAAGCTTCCAAATTTAGTTTCAAAGGTCCTTTCTTTCTTTATCCATGCGTCTTCATTGTTGAATATTAGTGATTTTAGGGAGGGTTCATTAATTATTATTTCGTTTCTGTTTATTTGTAAATATATACCTATACGTATTATTGGTGTGTAGCAAATATATACCTATGCGCATCATTTGTGTATAGCAAATATGTACCTATACGTATTATTTGTGTATAGCAAATATATACCTGTGCATATCATTTGTGTATAGCAGATATATACCTATGCACATCATTTGTGTGTAGCAAATATATATCTATGCGTATCATTTCTGTTTAGCAAATATATACATATGCGTTCGCAACATGCACCGTCAAAGCTTCCCATTGTAGTGTCAAAGGTTCTTTCTTTCTTCATCCATGCGTCTTCGTTGTTGAATTGTAGTGATTCCCGGGAGGGTTTAATGATTTTTATTTCGTTTGTGTTTATTTGTATTTATTTTTGAGCAAAGGAGATTGACCTTATGGAGCATGGGTTCTGTATAAATTGGCAATTATGTTTATTTGTTAGGCTGCAGAACCAGTCTATACTTCTCCCTTTAACTTAAACCCCATTAAAATGATAAAATATAATTTCAAATCTTGCTATATTCGTGGTTTAAATTTCTCAGTGTCAGGGGTAAGGGTCTATTTATGAAAAAATCATTAAAGATTTAAAATCCCAAATGTAACACAAAAATATTACTCAATCTTATAATGCTACATGAATGGAAACTTCATACAAAACAACATACTATATTAAAAGAAAACCCAGTAGAAATATATAGAGATACAAAGACGTATTGGAAGAAAATCTACTCACACAAGGCATCATTTATCAATAAAAATTAGCAAATAATACAACGTTATTTACATTGTTCGGGTTGTCATCTTCATTCCTATTTCCATTTTCACGATTGTTCCACGCCTAGGCGTTCGTCAGGTGATTGGAATTTCGAACTTTATTTCGTCCAAAGTTGTAGAGTATTCTAGTTCCACGTGCCGTCTCTTTTCCAGATGTCTCAGTTATCTCCCTTTAACTCACCTCTTCATTTTTTTTTGTTCCTTACTGCTGTAGCCAGGTATTGAACTCACAACTCTTTGGGTCAAGTAAATGGATTCAAACAACGATTTTATCCGCTGGGCTATGCGTACCTCGTCTTAGAAATATAGGCGAATAATACAATAGTTTGAGAAACGTACCTGGGAAAATAGTACAGTTTACATAAAACTGCATGAGGTTACATTAACAATACCGAATCACGTATACTTTGACTATGGAATGAAAAAAAGCAATCACATTTTTTAGAATGATATAGATATCTAATGAAAAGTAAAAAGACATTTCCAAATGCAAATCCGAAATAAGTTCCGACTCAGAACAGGAAATAACTTCCAAGATAAAAAATAATTAAGTGACACAATTTCACAAATAAAATATTTAAAAAACAAAAATGAATAATTTATAAAGGAAGACTACAAGCCAGGTTTACAAATAACTTTAAGTATCAGCCTCAAACAAAACAAACAGAAAGGTCTAGTTCTCCATTTTACACAGGGATATAGTGTCCCGTATATATATATATATATACAGCCCGTTTATGGAGAAATGACCTATGGTATGATGACCACTTAAGACATGAAACTCACAATCAAAAAGCGGTGTTAAATTCTACCTTAGTACAGTATACAGAGAAACTGGAAACATGCAAATGTGTCAAACATGACAATACGAGTGACGTATTGTGTTGATCTACGAAACGTGATCAGTAGTCAAATCTTTATCTGTTTCTTAGTTTAGTATACATTTTATCTCTTCTTCTTAACATAAACAAACATTTCTATCTATATTTCTAAGATGAGGTATTATGTACACTATTTATATTATTCAGACTATTGTCCTCATCTTTGTCGCCATATTTATCACAACGTTTCGGCCCTTCAGTATCTGTCTA